GGGGGGGGGGGGGGGGGGGGGGGGGGGGGGGGGGGGGGGGGGGGGGGGGGGGGGGGGGGGGGGGGGGGGGGGGGGGGGGGGGGGGGGGGGGGGGGGGGGGGGGGGGGGGGGGGGGGGGGGGGGGGGGGGGGGGGGGGGGGGGGAGAAATGAGAGATACAGAACTCGCGTTCTCCAGGCTGAAGAACGTTCGGGGATTGCGATACGCGGAGGTCGATGCATGCCGAAGGACGATCGACGTCCCTCCCTCCCCTCGCGTTGCTTAGCGATGGCGTAACCGATCAATCAATTTGGGGAGTCCATCGAGCCACCGCTGCCATCCCGGCCGCTATTTCGAGGAACGACGGCCGGGGAAGACTTGCCGGGAAGACTTGCCGGGGAAGACTTGCCGGGGAAGACTTGCCGGGGAAGACTTGCCGGGGAAGACTTGCTGCGAGGATTTGCTCTCCGGTTCCAGGTATGTTACACTTTCGAGTCTTGGTATGGTATTCATGGATATTGGCGGACGTGAGATTTTGCTCATTGAAGCGTAAGATGCAGCAAAAAAATGGACTTCCCGGGCAAATACTTTCTTCCTCGCTCATTCATCATTTGTGTGCCTTTTTGCAAATATAAATATATATAATAGGATACTGACATTGCTCTGAAATACGCCGTAAAGAGACTCCTTCTGAAAAGCGCCGCAGAAAATCCCAATTACTCCAACAAAAGATATCCTTTAGTTATGCATTCGTCTCGAAAAGTGCATGAGCACTCGGCACCAATGCCACGAAAGTGTGTCAGTACTCATGGGCGTCCGCTCCCAGGGGCAAGGGGGGGCAGTACTGGTACTGGTAGTACTATGCAAGAAATTTATTGTACTTCATGTGGAAATCTCTTCTTCCGAAAAACCATTTAGACCAATCTTGCCACGCAATATGAAACATCCAAACGAGTTAAAAAATTCAACTCAACCCATCTGGTCCAGAGGTTCCGGTAACAGTACTGCTCTACATAACATCGCGCCAAAGCTGAAGATCG